TAAAATGACTATAGTTCAATGAGTCGTGTTTTCATATTCAATGCCCATCACATTTTGTCACTCAAAGCATTGACAGTCTCATGTTATGCATCAAATTTCCATCTGTCATATTACTTTTGATATTTTTTCCATGTGGTGCTAAATTGTACAAGAAGGAAAGTGAAAAGTTCTCAAAACTAAGGTCTTGTTTGTTTGTAAATAATGGATTTTCAAATTTAATGCAAATACCATGGGTTTGGACCTTTTATATAATAGTTTTTCAAACAGGCCAACAGGGTGGGCTGACCAGCAGCCCATCAAGGATCCTATTTGGCACTCTACTAATGTCTCTATCCGATCTGACCCAACCTAACCCAACCCAACTTGCTTGTGGTTGCAAATCAGGCGAGATGATCAGCTACAAATGGTGGACCTGAAAATAAAATAAGGAAGGTTTACTATCAATTCACCACTACTTCTTCCCTATAACATAGCAACAATGGCCTCCTTTTTTTCAGCAGCCTTGGCTCATTAAGGGGGCTGACCTGCCCCATTGGGGGTAGTTCACCTCAACATGTGGCCTTTTAGGCCCGTCTTAATTTTGCCAATCCAATCCACGTTTGCCTGGCATGGCAAGTTGGCCCAAATCGTACACATTCTTATTTCCCAAAATAACAGTGTGAATATCACTAAGCACCTTTGCCTTGGTCAAGATAAATTACTCATCTCCCAAAATAGCAGTGTGAATACAGTATTCACATGTATAAAAAATCTAAACCCACTGCTGCGCTTGTAGGAGCAACCACAACAAGGATTATCAACCTGCAATGGTGTGATGTAATTTTCAAATATGGCAAAACTAATAATTCCCAAAATGAACCATGTAATTAAAATTTTCCTAGAGTTTTTCTTTTTCTTAGAACACATTCAATCAAAATTCTCTCATACATGCAAACAGAATATCACACTTTATTTACCACTTTATAAGTAATATATCAATCTGACAAGGTGAAACCTAAACAACTACCAAACATCTCCACGTTATTATATTCTGAACCTGGAAGAGGTATGCACTGTGAGGGTTGGTGTTGCAGTCAGGAAACTTGGACCGGTAATTGTGCTCAAGAAGAACTATATAACTAATTCCCCTAATTCATGCATCCTGTCAGTTTATAGAAAGAGGTGTTATTTAATCTCCAAGTAAATCCAATAATATAATCTTTTTAGGAACCATAAAGATGGTATATGTATATTAGTATATGTATGCATATATATATATATATATATATATATATATATATATATATATATATATATATATATATGTATATCACATATGATTGGATTGATTGCAACTATGGAAGAGTACAAGATGAAACAAAACACAAATTTTGTATTTGAAGGGAAAAGAACATAATATATCTTATTGTTTGAAATGTGTGAACATGAGGCTCCAACACAATTCTACCTCAGATTTCTTTTCCAAGACCTGAATAGGATTGCATAAAGACAAAGTAACATATTTACAGCTCAAAAGATTATCAAATGATTCATCTCTAAAGAACTAAAGAACATAATATAAATTGAAGCTAAAAAACATGTGTATACTTTTTCAATGGTCCGACCAAAATTTTGGCTTAACAAGAACAAAAACTACCTAACAATATAATGAACATCATGAACTGCAAGCCAAGGTGGAAGCCATCTGTTTGGAATCTGGCATAATAGGATACACACAATTAAAACACATGTACGGCACAATAGGATACTATGCAGTTAATAGAAAATGTAAAATTTTTATATGTATTTATCTAGAACCTTAACTTCAATTATCTTCGTATTCTTATATGGCTTTTATCTTTAACCTAATATCATCGGTTATTCAAAAAAGAAAAGACTTTGAAGTTGATATTAGCATCTTCTCATTCATAATTTCCATATACTTTCTAACTATTGCATTTCATCGAACACATTGTGGGCGTCATTTGAATAGTGTGGAGTATCAACATTTGAGGATGAATCATATAAAATGAAGAGAGGGAATAAACAATTTAGCATAAATGGATCTCCCTGAAATGTTCAAAATGACATTAACTGAAAGAGATGACCTAAACTAAATAGAAAGTAAATGGTTAAGCCAACAACTCCTAATAATTACTACATAAAAGGAACATATATCTATGGATATACCTGCCAAAGTGAGTATTCTGCCTTTCTTCATTTTTGAAACAAAAAAGGGAAGCGATCACTTTTTTCTTCATTTCTCATCATGTCAAGCTCATTTTGGTCGTTTGGCACAAAATCAGCCCGATATCCTCACAATTAAATGAACAGAATATGTTATATACCAATCCACTTTTGATTGTAAATCTATTTTTTAGAAGAATTTTGTAAATCCATTAAGAATCATCATCCATTATCTTGCGTGTATGACTTTTGAGCGGAGGAGACATGGAGGGAACAAGATAACCAAGTTGAAAAAACTACAACAGTAAAGAGAAAGGTCAAAAGCTAAGAGGGGGACGCTACCCATCTTATTATGAATGAATTTAATTATGTGTTCACCTGGCAGAGTTATCTTCTCTCCGTTGTATATTATTGAACGGGAAAGAGTGTAAGAAAGAGGGGAGAGAAGTTGTCATTTTACATACCTGAAATCGACGAGAATAGCTCAAGAAGAAGACATAGCGAGGACCAACCGGCGAGTCGCGCAGCAGACCCAAGAAAGCGGCGGCCAGCCATCAATTGATGGAGAATCGCGCAGCAGTTAGCGTGGGTTGCGAAAGAAGATCTGGCTGAAAGAGATGAATGAAGAAGACCTAGCAGCAGAGGAACGAGAGCGGATAGATGTAATTCTGAAATGAAAGAGGAAAACGCCTAAGGGTTGAGATTTTATTCCGTATATTAAACTCTATGTAGGCCGGCCCATTAATTAGGCGTGCGTTAAGTCCAAGTATACTCCGTACAAAATGTTAAGTGTCATTATTTGATGCTGATGTATTTGTGTTAGAAAATAGTGACACTTTAGTGTTATTAGTGGTATTATATCAGAAAGTGTCACTATAAAAGTGTCACTGTAAACCAGTTTTTTACTAGTGTTTACTCCGTAAACCCAAACGCCCATAGGCGCCCATTTTTGCAACCATAGACCAAGAAGGAGTAAAGAATTAGAGCAATGGCTTAGGAAGAAGATCCACTATATTTATAAAAGAACGGGCCAGGGCCAAATGGGGTTGCACTTCCGGTGTAGTTCTTCATTGTAGTGAAATGCCAAACACCCATTTATGTTTCTACGTTGGAATGAAAAACACATACGGTGTAGGACATTTCATCATGTTTTTGACATAATGACATGTTGACTATACTACTCTGTAGTACGTAAGCATTTGGTGTGAGATGAAAATCCATTGTTTCAATATTTAATTTATTGTTGGTGGCATTCTTTCTAAATACTCCGTAACAATAACAATAATAATAATAATAATAATAATAATAATAATAATAATAATAATAATAATAATAATAATAATAATAATAATAATAATAATAATTAATATTATTATTATTATTATTATTATTATTATTATTATTATTATTATTATTATTACTACTACTACTCGTATCATCATCATCATCATTATATTTTATTGTTGTCATTACAAATAAATATCCTCACCCTTATCGATTTTCATAGAGTTTTTTTCTAAAATATGATGGTAATAAATTTATGAATGAAAAATATGAGTATTGTGATTTACTACTTACGGTAGTTCCTAACAAGTTAATCGTTTTTTATCATAAGTATTAGTTAAATAGTTATAAGTTTATTACTTAGTAGTGAGGCTTGTGATCTACTACGTATTTACTTTTTAATTAATACTCCCTCCGTATTTAAAATAGCATTGTATTAGGTCTTGACACAATATTTAAGAGGGGAAATAGTATGAGTAATGAATAGTGTAAAATAAGTAGGAGAGAAGGTGAAAAAGTAGGAAATGGGAGATAAAAATAGAAAACATAAGGGTAATTAAATACTTTTAAAGAAAAATTTATCAAAAAGAAAAAACGTAGCAAACTTTTAAATAAATTCCAACTAGAAAAGTGTAGCAAACTTTTAAATACAGAGGGAGTAGTTATGATTTCAAATATTTTATTATTTATTAATTTATGCATTTTGATTTAAGAATTTAAGGTCTTCAGATTTTCTTTTTTATTTGAACACTTGAACACAATTAACTTTGTTGAATTTTGCGAGTTTGATATTATATGTTACTTTATTTTCATTCATAAAACGGGGCCTCAATTTTGCATTTGGATCCGGGGCCTCCTAATCCATTAGATGGCCCTGGTAAAAAGTTAGTTAAGAAATATAAAAGTCAATGTGGCATAGTGGCATACTACCACCTAACTCCTTTGAATTAAAAGTAGACTACGAGTAATACTTCTCCTAATGCGGGGAAACATTTCCACGGGAAACAAGACCCAAGACACAACATGGTTCAGTAAATTACGGGTAAAATGAGGATGCACTCATTAGTGGAAAAAGAATATGCATAATATAATCAATATTCTCTCACAAACTTTTACTTTTGTTTTTTAGTTGTTCAAAACATTGTCAATTTCATATTAAAATAACAATTTTGTAATTGACATCCCTTATTACTTTTCTTTTTAGAAAAATTTCAATCACACAAATTTATTTTATAAATTTAGCTTTCGGTTAATGTTGACAAAATTTATTTATGAATATCATATTGATATTAAAATATTAAACAAAAGAGAGACATCGATATAAGGAAAACTAAAGCTAATGTGGTACCTACCTACTTTGAAATAAAAATAGACAAAAAGGAACATTTTTTCAAAATGTGAAGTAACATAATTGAGTAATTTACGGGCAGAATGAGGACGCCATCTTAAAATAAAAAATATTCTCTCCCAACTTTGTAACTTTCTTTGCCAACTTTATTTTTACTTTTTAAAGTTAGGTCAGAAGTCTATATTTCTTTCCCGGTGCACCAATGTAACTCATCTATAAGTCAAAAAAAGCTCAGGTCCTCCTCCTCCACCCTATGGCAGAAGCAATAATGGAGACGTATCCACCGGATTTGCTCCCCTTCACTCCTCTACAGAAACAAGAGGATACGAGTGAGTCACCGTCACCCTCAATCTTTCTCCTTCATAGGTATGTAGTAGTCACCCTTGCTCTTGTCACCATCCCGCTCTTCCCATCCCAAGCCCCTGACTTTCTCAAATCGCGAATCCCGCCTCAACTCTGGGAGCTTTTCCACCTCCTCTTCGTTGGCATTGCCGTCTGCTATGCGCTGCTTGTCAAAAAAAGTGACACCACCGCTGAGGACGGCCACTCGCGACCTTACTCCATATTTGATGCATCACATTCCTATCTCTCTTCCATTTCAGATATGTCTTCATTTTTTGAATTCGAGGACATTAATCCTCTTTCCCATGATGCTTATCATAATAGACCTTTAGGACTGCCGGTTAGACGTTTGAAACCGCCATCAGGAATGATTTTTACTGCTGCTAGGTCTAGTGATCTTATGAATGTAAGAGACATAGTTCCCTTTAATCCATCTGATCAGAGAGATTCTGAAAATCGTAGAAAAGTTATGCCTCTTGCAGCTTTGGAATATGATAATGAGCAACAAGAGTTTATTGGACAATATAGGTCAACAACATCTTATAAGAGCAACAACAGTTCCCATGCCTCTTTGGATGAAGGAGATCAGATGACGGGTGGTCATCTTCTTCTGGAATATTCTTCACAGCCGCCAACAGTCATTTCTGAGTACAAAGATGCAACAAAGTCTAGCTCCGGAAGGGTTTCACCCACACCGCGGCAGGTTGTTGCGGAAGATGATGATGAGTTCAATGAATTCATGATGACAAATAGTAATAATTATAATAGCAGTATTGGTGAGATGAGAGAAACACCTTTGGACTTGGGAGGAGAGTCTAACCACGGGCACATTAGATCTTGGTCATTCTGGCGCCCTGCACCTTTGGAACCCAACCCAACCTCTTCATTTCCTACAAAAGCTTCCGCATCTTCCCCTCCGCATTCCCCGAATGTCAAAATTGATGATGATCATATCAAGGAGAAGGATGTTTATAAGTCTCAGTCCTCGTCCTCGTCCTCGTCCTCGTCATCATCATCAGCAAATAATGAAGAAGAAGTAGCAAAGCCTTCTTGGCCTTCTTCCGATGTACCTGCCAATAATGAGACACTAGACCCTTCTTCTTCTTCTTCTTCTTCTTCTTCTTCTTCTTCTTCTTCTTCTTCTTCTTCTTTACTGATAGACAAAAGAATCCAATATCTGTATTCATCTCACGAAAAGCCACCATCAGTGCGCCGTAAAGGTTCGTTAATGGGAAAATCAGTGAGGACAATTAGATCGCGTGGTCTTGCTGATGATGATCGGAGATTATCTTCAATGACGTTGGACAGCATAACTGAAGGAGGAAATGGTGAAGAGACTCCATTAATCAACACACAAAGGGGTAGCAAAGTTGGAGTTACCCCCATTCTGGAGTCAACATTTGCTACTGCAAAACAGAATGGGATAAAGGAAGACAGTGTTGCAGGTGACATTTTGGAGTCTAGATATGACTCTGTCAGTGTATGGAACAATTCAGATGCAAGTTCAGATTCAGGTTCTTATGTTGTAGATGATGTGGAACTGGGAAGTGAGGTTGACAGGAAAGCCGATGAGTTCATAGCAAAGTTTAAAGAGCAAATCAGGCTTCAGAAGATTGTATGAATGATTTCGACAATCCAACACTTAATAATTTACTTATTTATTTATCAGTAAGTCGGGTTAGAGATGATGTACAAACACATGTACCATTCCTTGGGAAACAGGTAGAAACCCTGGGATGCTCAACTTGAGCACACATACACATATGCTCTCTCTATACATGATATATATCTTTCTAGTGTCTCACTGCATGCAAGAAACTTAAACATGCTAACTACTTTTCATCTCTCTTCAACTTTAGGGATACAAATCCTTTTGTCAAACTTGTCTGAGTTGGGCCTCAATAATGGTAACACCACTTTCACATTTTGTAATACATGTCACTATTATTCATGATTATACTGCTTTTTTTCACCTCCTTAAGTGAAACAACCTACATTTAACGTCTTCAACCCACATCGTTGGATATTTGAATGGAAAGAGCATTCATAATATATTAACATACTTTAGCAATCAACTCCACCCTTGATTCTGCATATAATTAGGGGGTGATCCATTCAAGTTTTGAATCACGTAACCTGTGAAACTAAACCATAACTGGATATATGGGACCTGATCAGTTCTAAAATTGTTTCATGTCATGTTCCTACTTCTTTAGCACTTCTACAAAAGGAATAAGTCTCATTTTGTCTTATTTTGAAGGAGGTAGAACAAATTTGAACTGGTACCAGAATTGGAAAATTCGTTTGGTCTCTCACAATTCCATCCCTAGTGAAAATTATGTTTTTTACTCCATATCCATAGAAACACTAAATATTCTAATCCTGTGAAAGTGTAACAGTCTCAAGGCATTTGATGACTTTAATTAATTACGGAAGTTTGATGCAAAGAGGCTCGACACTTGATATATATCTATGGGTCCTCATAGAAGTCATATATTCTAACCAATTTCGCAGGAAAGTCAATTTGTTGTCCACATTCAATGGAATTAAAACCTAATACAAACATTTTAAGAAGTAAATGTTGACGCACACAGACAATAATGACTTGTTCACTGACATTTGAAGAATTTACCTTTTCAAAAGCCGAACAATCTAATTTAGTAACTTATCTCTAGGCCAGTAATGAGCATTTCCAAAGTCCTTCTTTATGAGTTCATGCTATAGTAACACATTACACTAGTGAACCGAATGAAATGAGTAAGCACTATGAACGGCTAAAATTGATTAACTAAAATACCAGAAATTGACTAAATGCTCAAAGTAAAATTTGAACTAGTCACTCACATGGATTGTAGATAAGAAGCAATCCAACAATATTCTGTGTGTAGTTACTTATGTAGCTCCACAGCCACTCATCCGATTCAATGAGGTCTCGAAAAAACTTTCGGTCCCCTTCTATCAATCTCGGGATATCAAAGACAACAAAAAGATTGTTCAATGTTGTCATCCTCTTTGATCTCAACAAATGTTGGGTTTGAGTTTGTTTTTTCTCCTCGGGGCCACTTTCTTGTTGGATCGGTGTATGAGCTACAATGGTACTAGCTACAATGGTACTTGAAATGAAACGGTTTTCTATTGTGGATTTCTTGGCGACTTTGTTTAGGAGCCAGAAGGTCATTCGCAGCCAACCCAACATCATCAACCACTTCATCCCACTTGAAGTTTTCAAATGGCGTCTTTTGACTTGATTCAAGGAATTTATCTTCAACAAATTAAACTACACAATAACACACATTTGTTATAATGCACACATACTGTCTGTGACACCAAAAAAGATTGGGAAAATGGAAACTAATAATCCAACCTTTTAGCAGTCTTCTTACAATAGCCCCACCTTTTTGTTATTCAAGAATAATTCAACCTTTGCACCCCATCTTCATTCGTCGATCCCTGACCGGTTAATGACATGCTATTCCAATTTATTTTCTTATCTTTGCAAAATATTATCTTTGTGAAAGGTGAGATTTATGGTATAATGGTTTGCAAAGATAAGAAAATAACTTGGAATAACAGGTCATCAACCGGTTAGGGACGAGTGAATGAAGATGAGGTGCAAAGGTTGGATTATTCATGAATAACGAAAAGGTGGGACTATTGTAAGAAGACCGTTAAAAGGTTGGATTATCAATTTCCATTTTCCCAAAAAGATTTGCATTGTCTGTGAGCACATATATTAGACATCTATTGTTAGTGCCCATAGACAACAGTTGTAAGGGGCAAGTTGTAAACAAGTAGGGAAAACACTCTAATAGGATTAAAACACGAACTTAGAATGTAAACAGGAGTTAAGACTTACTAAACCCTAAACAAGACTAATTTGGAATCACACGAACAAAAATAACCTTGTTGAAGGTAAAGGCATGATGGTGGCATGACTTTGTCAAGACAAGGCAAGCTAGACCAAGTATGAGAGAAAACGGATGGCGTTGCGAGAAACCATGTTCAATTCGGTTCATGGGCAGCATGGTTTGGGTTGGCTATGGGTGTGTTGGTCCAGCATGTGGTCCAAGTATTGATGAAGGTCAGTGTCAAGCGTGGCTTGGCTTACGAGACGTGGAACAAGTTCAAGCACGAAAAAAGCATATGGCTCAAGTTGGCACGTGGGAGACTCATGGGAAGTGTGTGTGGTGCGTGGCTAGGCTTGAACCTGAAGCGTAGCTGTCCTTGAACAGTCACGACTATTGGGAGCTTCAGTGGCAATGAGGGTTAGTTGGCGTCTGGTTGACAAGTGGGACTTGGGTAAGTAGGGCGCAAGGCAACGAGGGTTAACCACGGGCTCAAGGAAAGAAAGAGTTGGCTCGCACGTGGTCTGTGTTAGGCCGCGACGTCGATTCAATCTCGAAGGGTCATGTCGGTTTGGTGCTGGCATGGCTCAAGTCTAAAAGGGAGAATGACATGGCTCAAGTCTAAAAGGGAGCATGGCATGTCGGGGGCTTTGGGCGAACCAGTTGGCGGTTACCAAATGTCCTGTATGTGAAGAGACGCGTCCCTTTAGGCTAGGTGCGCCAGGCAGTTAGTTTGTGATTGCCACACTTTGTCAAGTCTATAAATAGGCTACGTACACTTGACACAAGTTTTTTAAACAGAGTGGTGTGTGCAAGTGTGTTTGCAAGTGTCAGACTTTGTGAACGTGTTGTATTAGTCTTAGTAATATGTGTGTGTGTGTGAAATGAGAATGAATCTCAGCCATTGGATTTCCGATTTTGCACTGAAAATATCTTTTACTAATTTTTTTACTTATATAATTAGTGGAAATTTAGAAAGAGTAACACATATCTGCTAAACTAATCATATATACTTCATGTTCTCTATTCGAATTTAAATATAAGGTGAATGGAATTTTACAAATGATTAGTGAAAATTGAATTTTTAATTGATCGGTGGTCTACCTTGGATATTCGAGAGCCTTCGTTGTTGATACAAAATTCCATCGGCCAACCATTGCCAAGTTAGTTCCCATACATGCTCAGGTCTGCTGACGGGACATGATAAGAGCAGAGTTACAAACAATTTTCTACATAACAACATATTCTTTTAATGCTTCAATATATTCTTTATCATCCCCAAGCAATCCCGCCGCAAAACACGCTTCTCTAAAGGTTGGATATTGAATGTTGGCAACTGTCCTGATATCCCCATAACAACACGGCCCCTTTATTACAGTGAGCATCATTCTTAAGTAGAATAATTCACCTGTGGTTGGAGGTACCCAAATGAGTCTACCAATAGTGTAACCCTTTGTTCGCAGTTTCCAGCACCTCTTGCTAGCTACATACACAAACCGTGAAACAAATTTTGCATAGGTCAAATCTTTTCCTTCAGAATAAATTTTGTTTGCTTGCATCCAAGATGTAAACATTGATTTTTTAACAATTTTTTTTGTTAAAACTGAATCCAGGTTGTCATTGTCACTAAAGAACACAGACTGCTCATTGGGAAGGTGAAAGAAAAGCCTTTCAACTGCTGGAGACCTACCATGAATCGGAAAAGAAAAAATCCTCCAACACGCCTCACATGGTGAGACATACCTACAATCAAGATATTGCTTGATCTCATCAATAGTCTCATTTTGTGGAGTCTCATCATCACGTGTTGGAACAATAACTGCTGTAATCCGATCATATCCTTTGTTGATATACTTGAATAAGTATTTGATTGAAGTGCTTTGATTACACCATTCCATGTTGATATGGGCCTGGTACTTTAACAACAATTTTGGATTATAAGGCACAACATGACGATTGTCTAAGATAATATCAGATTTTTCTATTTCTCTTCCATTTTGTCTTCTCCTATAAATAGGATAACCATCTTCGTCAAGTGTCGTGAATTCCTGAAACATTGTAAATGTTATGTATTTCTATTCTAAAATGATGAGAATAATCTTAACTTAATACTTCTTAGCACCACTAATGTCATGTATGACTTTGATAGAGTAAGTTTAACAGATAATAGTAAAAAAAATGAGAGATGTTTTTTACCACATATGTATAAATTGCATGTGTTCTTAAAATTAGGAATTGATGTTTAGTTTGTAGTATTATTCTACAGTGTGACAATGTATAAGTTTTGATTTATTTTTTATGAGGGACCTACATGCTAAAAATTAATAGTAGTGACAGTATAAGTCACATTTTTTTCAAGATGAATAGTTAATACTACAGTCATTTATTAATTAGTACTTCGTAATATTTTAATGTAATTATCTATCATTCATTAGCAAATGTATGAAACTATTACGGCAATAGAATTTAAATTATCTTTTTGTAACGATCTAAATGGAAATATCCCAAATATCTTAAGAAAATGTGTGTCTGTGTGTGTATTGCTTTTGGGAAGTGATCATATTTAGAACAAAATAAGACCACACTTAAACTGACCAGACTAATTAAAATCAAACTTGCCTGGAATTGCTTAGGATAATACTTGTTGCATTTCCTATCCTGCATGCATGGCGATGAAGGGTTCGCTGAACCGCATGGACCATGAATCATGTGAGTTTTGACCAAGTTGTATAATTCTTTCTCAGACTCTTGATCAGGTATCTCTGCTGAGATAATCCTATCAATATCATCGGCAGTTGGGTACTTGTTCGAAGGATGCAAAAAAATGAGTATATGACCATGTGGCAGTCCTCTTTTTTGGAACTCGATTGTATACATGTCTGGAAATAAATTAGCAAATTAAAATTTTAGAATAAATGAATTGCAACAATAAATTGTAGTGTGAATAAGAAATATGTAATGTATTCATATTCAAAACTTACATGCAAGAACTTTCCCGAATATATGTCTTTTCCTTAAATCTGTTAATAACTCTTCAAACTTGATCCTAAAGACCCTTGCAAGAATATCAGGACGATCATGT